AACATTGAGTAAGGTATATTTGGGGAAGAGGAGTGGCCATTTCAAGACAATCGGATTCAAGTGGATGGGTGTGGTGACTACCTATCCAGAAGAGAAACTATATTTGTGTGATTCTCTGGCTTTCTGTGTGCTATGGCATGCAGAGCTGGGCAGTATTTATGGTATGGAAGCAGTAGGTCGACTCAAAAGAATATATGTGCAGATCACAAAATTAGTCAGTTTATTCCTTTTATTTGACTAGCCTTGGAATAAGCATAATCTTATTTTGTATATCTTATAGATTATCTGGAGTGCATCTTTACATATCCATGATCCACTTGCGAAAATTTTCATTTTATGTCCGTCATGCAACACGCATTGCTACCTTTTGCCATAACTTTTCACGTCGTGAAGTACAAAATACTAAACTATCTAATCCCTCGGACTTGGTCCATTGGCCCCTACATGCGATTTGTTGTAATTCCATGTGGAGAGGGTCATGTACCAACTGTGAATATTGTTTTTCTTATCGTACACCATGGGTTCAGTAGGGGAAGCTAAAGATTGCAAGATTTTTCCCTTCGTTAGCTTCTCTGTTCTCATTCCAGGCTTTTCTTAGCACATTTGCTCACAGTTATCTACTGTAGCATCACCTAAATATGTTATCCATAATACCAGAACCAGCTGTTCAATCCTGGAAGGGGTGATCATCTAAGACAGAATATATGGTGGTTCAGAGTATTACTTATTTTATGTAATACGGCCAGTGTCTCTAGGAGTTATTCCAACCCCATGCATGCATGTGAAGGCTAGCAATTCTATGCTCTCCGAACGAATCAATTATATATTAACTTGAGTACAACTTGCTTCGATAACGCCAAATATACTGTCAATAACAAAGATGGGGACAAAGACCCTCTTAAAAGAACAGACGGGGTAGTTTGCTTCCCAAATATATGAGAAGACTAGAAGCTTAGTCATTTTATTCCTTTTCTTTGACTGGTCTTGAAAGCTGCATACAGTTTTGCATCTCTTTTTTTGTTACATATGATTGATTACGTAGATAATCAGATAAAGGAGGCAATGCTATAATTTTCAATGCAGTTTCTTTGTGTTAGTTCTGTTGCTAGATTTTCTTGTACTAATAATGTTCACATAATGAATACAAAATACTGAAACTCCTGAACTCCTACTAGCTTGGCAGCAGCCTATCGTAGAGGATAGGCCGAGAGGATGGAGCCTATATACCTGCATTCACACTTAGGGTTGGTGAATCATGATGGATGAGAAGTTTCACCGGTCGTGCATTTGCTCTTCCATACCATCTTTCCAGAGGAATGGGAAATGGCTCTACACATGGAAAACATAGGTCCTGATAACTGCCTCTCTCAATGGTTTGTTATGTCACATTCACCCAAAATAACATCCCACTAGGCACAATACACAATAAAACCAAGATTAAGCTACAAGCACATTTGGAATTTTCCTTGCATGCTATTACGACGCATGTGTGATGCTACACAATAATAAAAAGGTGTTAAGAGACATTGATTAGATCTTTTTCGCCAAATTGAAAAGCATTTCTGAACATGATTCAAGACTTTCTCCTAACAATTTGCTCTGGCAGAAGACATATGTGTTCATGAATTTATAGACCATTTAGTACCCTAATAAACAGAAAGGAACATTATGCTTGTGAATTCAAATCTTGGCGAGAGCTTAGCATCATGTGCTTGCCCGGGGTTCTACCGGACGGCTCTTGAAAAACACATAGTCATTATATTACTTCTCTTTGATTAGCCTCGGAAGAAGCATAGTCTTATTTTGCATATCTTATAGATTATCTGGGGTGTATATCTAAATAGATGACCCACTTGCTAAATTTTCCATTTTTATGTCCTTCGTGCCTTGTGCGTTGCTACCTTTTTATCCACAAACTTTTCATATAAGGGAGTAGAAAATACTAAACCATGTAATTCCTGGGACTTGGTCCATTGGCCCCATGTGCTCAAACAACATAATATCATATCATGTGCTCCTGATAGAGAGCCAGCTCTATCTATACACAGCTAGCGTATAATATATTATCCATACGACCTGAACCGCTAGAAGGTGTGATCATCTAGTAAAAAATATATGGTAGCTCAGACCTATTAAAATATTTAAATAATACAGTTTGTCTAGGAGTTGTTCCAACTCGATCCACACATGAGAAGGCCAACAAGTATATGCTCTAGCTTATCCCATGATGCCAAACCTATATGTTCTTACGATAGAACCATATCGCCTAGAAAAATTCTATATCAGTTGGAGTACTACTTCCTTTGAACACTGCCAAAAATAATTTCAATAATAAAACATGCGGATAAGGAATCCCATAAAAAATGGTTGGAGTAGTAGTTTGTTTCTAAAATATACGTGAAGACCATAGGCTTAGTCATTTTATTCCTTTTGTTTGACGCACCTTGCAAGAAGCGTAAAGCTTTATACTTCTGTTTTGTTATTTCTGATTGATTGTCTCTAGCATATATTCACATGAAGGGGCCACTAGTATGTTCATGTGAGTTGTGTTTCTACCATTTCATATACTAATGTTCACACTATGAAGAACATATACTGAAATTCTGGATTGCTTGGCAGCAACGGAGTTATCCCCATGCAAAGTCGATCATTGGCCAGGGTGGAGCCCTATATTGGCATTCACACTTAGGGCTGGCCATTCATGATGGTGGAGAACTTGCACCAGTCGTGCATGTTATCAGTGCCAATTGTCAAGTGAATGTAGAGGTGGTTGTAGCACCAAAACTAAAAGCTAGAATGGATAAGGGTTCAACATGCGTATGATGCCAAACACAAGGTCCTGATAACTTCTTCCCTCGATGGGTTGTTCCTTAGCGTTCACCCAAAATAACATCCCACAACGCATGCCACAACACAGAATAAAACCAGGATCAATAACAATAATTGGAATTTTACTAACATACTAGTACGGGTGTTGGTGCGCTGCTATGGAAATACATAAAGGTGTTACCGAGACATTGATCAGATTTTTTTGTCAAAATGAAATGCCTATTTTAAAAATGATCCAAGTCCTTCGTGCAACAATTCCACTACATGTCATGCATGTATAAATCGTTAAGTCCCCTCATAAAGAGAAAAGAATATTAAGCCCTTTATAAAGAATATTCATGAGAGCTTTGCATCATGCAGTTGTCCGTGTTATTGTTGGGGGTACTCTCGGACGGCTCATGCAAACACCCGGTCGACAGCAAGGTCAAGAACTATGCCCGCACCTGCCGCTGTGGGCACGACCGTGGAAAATCGGGATTGCATGAGCTCCTGATTTTATTTCAATAGATTAATTAGTAACTATACATTCTCGTTGTACTAGTTCTCAATCTAATCTGAATAGTTGTATTGATCTTCTCCATCCCGTCCCCGCACCTCAAATCCAGCCCTGAATAGATAATCACTTGTCAAAAAAAATTATTGCCCCAAAACTATAAAACCTATGTTCAGATTTTAGAATGCTGAACTTTTTTTGTTCTCCAGAATGCATACAAAACTGCATCACAATTCGAAACTGCTATCATATCCTTTCAGAAAGGCTCATTGGGAAATAACATTAAATGAAAGGTGCGTCCATATGCTAGTATTAGTGAACACACATATACTAGCTAACCATTATACTCATGGATGCAGCCACTCGACTATACATATCAGCAGGGAAACAAGGGACAGCGTATGGAAACAGTACATGGGTCAATGAAGTATATTTTATTTGTCTTGATGAACATATAGACTAATGTAAACTAAAAGAAGAATTTGTCTTGATGAACAAATTTTATCCGCTCGCAGCAGAACACCAACCGTCGCCAATGAAGAATAGCGTAGATTGGAATGAACCTACCTGAAAACACATGAGCGTAGATGAATTACAACCAGATCCAAGTAAATCCACCAAGGACAGATCCGCCGGTGACACACCTCCACATGCCCACCGATGATGCTAGGCACACAATCAGGACGGGGGCTAGGTGGGGAGAACCTTATTCCATCTTCAGAAAGCCGCCGTCATTTCGTCTTCCGGAGCAGGAAATAGACCCTAACAAAACGCAAAGAAACAACTGAAAACGGAGCCGAGATCCACCGCGCAGCCATCGCCCTAAGGCCACCGGAGACGAGGCGGACCAATCGCGGTGCCGGTGGGAGGCAGGGGAACCCTAGACATTTCTTGGGGAGGAGGCAACCCGCTTGGGTATGAGAAATTGGCAACTAAAAGAATAATTGATCAGGCAGAATCTACTATGTACCAAAAACTAACAAAATCGTGGGTCGTTAGGTTCTCTCCTAAAAATGGTCGGATATACTATACACCAATAATGAACACCATGGCTCTTTTTGTATCCGGTGGCCTTAATTTGTTCTTCAAGGCATGTGTTGTATCTATTTGTTTCGGACAATACAATCAAAGAGGGTTTGCAGGTTGCTGAGGATAATATGTGTAGCTATATGATATCCAAAATAGCACTTCATGGTTTGGTAATGTGTCTCTTTCAAAGACTGATGGGCCTGGTCATATTTGAGGAAGACAATGAAAAATAAAATCTAGGTCTTAGTCCTCTATATAGTTTGTCTTCAAGGCATGGTGTATTAATTTGCCAAGCAATAAAAATTAAAATGCGATAGCATATTTCCTCAAAAGTCTCTGTCTTGGCAAAACAAGAAATAGAAAATGACGCATGACCTTTCTTCTTTCTGAGGGCTGATACACGTACATGATATTGTTCCGCCCCACAAGTATAGTCTATCCAAATAGAAAGGTCGGCTGAAGAAAATGAAAAAAAAAAGACGAACACATTTGCTGGTCCTTAAGGGTATGGAACCAACATGCTAGTCCTCCAGCCCTATAAATAGCACCCCTAGACTCTTGAGTATCTCTCACACAGCCAACAACAGAGCAAGGAGTCAATTTATTGTAGACACCTCCTACCATCTTTGTGGGAGCCAAAATCTTAGCCATGGGCCGTCCTAGCCGTGTCCTGGCCATCATTTTTGTCCTCCATTTCATTCTATCCATGGCCAGTCCATCCCTTTCTTGCGTTATTCCTTGCGAGTCTGAGATAAACTTGCGCTTATACTTGCACCAAATCGCTGCTGGATCGGGCACCAACCAGGTAGCAATTGTTCCCTCCAGCCAACCAGCTGGGTTCGGCACGACCGCTGTTAACGACTGGACTGTGATTGATGGACCAAACCCCGGTACTGCCACCATTGTTGCCCGCACCAAAGGCATGCATGTGCAGGCTGATGTAGGCGGTCCAGGCTGGTTCAACTACTTCAGCATGGTGTTTGAGGACGCCAGGTAATTTATACTGTTGGACTAGAAGTTTTAGTTTTCTCAGTTACCAAGACCTCATATACTAAAGATTGTCTGGTTTTATATGATACGTGATGTGTTACTCTCCAAAACCATATCAGGCGCCGTGGATCGTCATTTGAAGTAATGGGGATGAACAGAGCTCAAGAAGGCGAGATGGCCATTATTGGTGGGACTGGAGAGTTTGCTATGGCACGTGGGACCATCAAGTATAGAGCACTCGCCAACCCTCCTCCGGGTCAAAGTATTAAAGAACTCAACATTCATGCATTCTACGTCAAACCAGCTGTAAGTAGACATGTTTAATTAGCTACTTAATTAGTATGTATTTGCTTTGTTGTTTCTAGTGTATCTATCTAGTTCAACATGATATCCTGATACCAACATAGTTTGGGTCATGTAACAAAAGGGCATTTAAATTGCACAGCTACCTAGTTCACTAAGAAAGCTAGTTTGAGTCATCCAGATAAAAATTATGAATCGTTGTTATTCCTTGATAAACCTCAACATTAGTACCTTAATGCCTAGATTCTTAATAAATGTAGCAATGCTGATATTTCCGGGGATTCCTTTTCTTTTTCCAGGGCACTATAGCTGGCCCCACAATCCAGTGATATGTTTCAAAATTACGTGGACAACCACGATGGGTAGCTGTGGAAGGAGCTTTGCAATGAGCTTGTCAGTGTTTTTCTTTTCAAATAAACCATGGATTTCTAGCTCGTGATATTTCATCAATACAAAGATCCATGTCCGACTGTTTGTTGTTGTTTTAAGATGTATGTGTTGGGATCATGTCTTATCGGTGTGTATCAGAATAAAGAAGTTTGGTTTGTGTAGTAAATTTTTAATATGAAGAATATTACTCCCGTCGTGTGAATCTTTACTTATTTCACACTTACAGTTGAACTACATTGACGACCTCTAGTATATCGGAAATTGGTCTAATTAATCAGTTAAACACAAGAGAACAAATGTATGGCATCCCTATGGTAACCATCGATGATTAAAGGAAAAGCAGGCATTATCCTTGATTAATCATAGCTAATTAATTCTTAACAGCATTCACCTTTACCTCATGAGGATTACATATAAGCGAACTCATGCGTACATTTGTGAGGCTAGTAGTATCTTTATTCTCTGCCATTTGTTAATGCTAGTACATGAATTCAGTTTAATAACACTATTAAACATATGTATCTTGTGTATGTACCATTGTAACTGAGCCTTATTGTATCAGAGTCCCTGGAGTTTACCAGACCAACAGGTAACCTAAGATATCGCCAAGGTTAACTTAAGAAGTGAAGCACGTCACAAAAACAAGCGCCGAGATCCTAAGCCTTTAAGAGCCAACATAAATGGCTCATAAATAGTCAAAAAGAACTCAATTGATCTAAACCTTAGGAAAACTTAAAATTCGTAGCACATGTCTGCTGTATAGACTAGCCGCTAACCTGACATCTCACCAAACCAATCTTAAAAAGTGAGGCATGTCACCAAAGTTAACTTCGAGATCGTAAGCCTTTGAGAATCGAACAACATTGGCCTAGTCTTATACGTACTTGCACACTTTCTGATTGAAAGAAATTCATGAAGGCCATGTAAAAAAAACAGGTCCAGCCGTTTGTTGTTGTTTTAAGATGTCTGTTTGGTTTTGTGTTTGGGATCATGTCTTATTATGTATCAGAAATAAAGAAGTTTGTTTGGTGTAGTAAATTTATAATATGAAGACTCTTTCTCCTGCAATGTGGATCTTTACGTATTTCACACTTCCAGTTGAACTAATGAAACACCCAACAATATTGTCACCAAAAAATTAAATGAGGAGAGAAAACAGAAATTAAATAGAAAAGAGGAAGACATAAACCAGTCACTATCTCTTTCATATCAGACATGGAGTTTTTGGTACCGTGTGCACATGCACCCGTATGGGTGAACAGTAAAATGAAGAAAAATAGCAAATAAATTCAAAACATTCTGAATTTTTTTTGAACCATTTTGAAACTCTCCAGCCCATTTCCTTTTGAACTTGACGTGGCCTCATTTCAAAACAGAGATGAAGATCGGTCAACAAGGTAATCATGTCGAAACAAGGAAAAGCATTTTTTTAGCTTCAGCTGCACTTCTGAGTGGTCGATCAAAAAGACTGTTTTTGATTGCATCGTCCTATGATATGGAACCTTGTGCAAGTTGTTAGTCACAGATTAGCAGATTGGGGGAAAAATCATATTCAAAGGAAATGGGTGCAAGTGATTCAGATATCTAGGCTACTGGGCTACAGCGAACACGACAGTAAACTGCTGACCCCCTGCCTGTTGGAGACACCTGCCCAAAGGACCATCAGCGAACAAAATCTCGGTCGAGAGCAGGCAGTCAGGCTACACCACAGGCCCAACAATTCTCGTTCGAGAGCGACTGTGGTACAGTTCAGTTGTAGAAGCCATTCCCTCATCTAGCAGTAGCAGAGCAGCCATCAGGGGAGCCTAGTGTACAAGAAATTCACAGCATCCTTCTGCAAGATTCCAGACTGCAGAATTATTGTGCGTAAATGCATGTCCCAACATCCTTCTTCGTGATTATTCAGAATGAAGCAAAGTCAGTTCTAGCTGAAACTCTCAAACAACAACAACATCCCACTTCTGAAACAGCAACAAGATCCCACTTCTGTTTCTTCCTCGCCTTCACCAGCCAAACCTGTCTCTTCCAGCGACGCCAGAAAAACACTTTCCTTCTCCTGATCACACGGGCGGGGATAACCAACCTCTTGCCAAAACACTTGAGCACCACTCCATTTACATAAGGGATAAGTATATTTTTCGTCCTCGAACTCTGGCGATAGTATAGGAATCGTCCCTCAATTTCGAAACCGGTAAAACTCAGTCCCTCAACTATTTAAACCGGTTACTTTTCGTCCCTCGCGGCACTTTAAGTGGTTTTGGTATGACCTGGACCCGGTTTTGACTAAAACTGTACACGTGGCTGGTTTTGACCGCCATGTCACTTAAGTGTCCCCGAATCTCTCTCTCTCCCGTGCATTCTCTCGATCCCATCTCGCAGACGAAACTTAAACATGTTTGTCCAGTTTGGACAGAGTACAGAACAGATTTCATGACAACATATTCAGTCGCATGTTTGTCCAGTTTGGACAGAGTTCAGAACAGATTTCATGAAAAACAGTCTGACATAACCACAAACATAGTACTGATTAGTCTTACAAGCAAACCACAAGGGAATTCTCAAAGTCTGACAAAGCAAATGAGAGATAGTACTGATTAGTCTTACAAGCAACCACAAACATGAATTCTAACATAACCACAAGGGAAGATCAGTACAAGTACAGTACTAGTCCGGTAGTTTTGCTGGGACTTTCTTTGCTCTTTTATTTCCTCCAACTTGAGCACTTGCAGCACCAGATGTAACATTGACTGTAAATGATGAACTAGACTGCACGTTCACTGTCACATTTTTTACAGCAATATTGGAGGAAGCCTTCATCTTGTGCTTAGGCAGTCCTAGGGATTTATTTGCCCTCTTTTGCACAGGACCAAGGTTCTCATCAGTTGTAGATGCTCTTTTTTGGCTGGTGCTTTGTTGGGATGTTTTCACATTTGCCTGACAAGGGAAGAAAGATTTAACATCAGCAAAAAAATCATTTACAAGATTTAACAAGATTTAACATCAGCATGGTTATGTGTATTGTACCTGGGAACTAGACATCTTGGAGGCTTTTGCATTGCTTCTGGACTTGGTAAATGATCTAGCGGCATTTCCTGAAGCTGCATTTTGTCCAACAGTAGCTGCTCCATTTGAACTTGAAGTGGCATTTCCTGGACATGTAGTTTTATTGTGACCAGTGCACTTGCATTTCCTGCATCTAATCACCCAACCTTCACCATCTAGCACATTCACATCTCTGAAAAGTAAAGAACAAAACCAGTCCCAACTATCATTGTTCTCTTTTTCAACAACTGCCCAAGCCAAAGGGTACATCTGGTTGTTGGCATCCCTCCCTACTGCACATAAAAGCTCTCCATTGGTTGCTCCCTGGAAAAAGCAGCCATCAAGTCCAATAACCTTCCTACAGCCAGCCATGAACCCTTTTTTTGCATGCCTCTAAGCAGATATATATCCTTTGGAAGATAGGCTTCACTTGATTTGGTTCCAATTTAACCACTACTGTGCTACCTGGGTTACTCCTTAACAGCTCCAACTGATAGTCAAATATTCTGCTATACTGACCTTTCCTTGCATCCAGCCACTTTTTCATCACAATCTTCTTAGCTCTCTTCACCTGAGCAATAGTCACATTGGCAAACATATCTTCTTGAATGTGTTGTTTCAAGCTTGAAATCTTCCACATTGGATTAGATCTAATTAGCTTGTCATACTTGGCAGCAATTCTTGTTGAGTTAACTAACTTATTGTCCTTCCTTTTTGGGCATAAATGATCTAGTGGTTTTACTCAAAAGACATACCCAAGGACATGTTGGCCAATCACACTTTGCCCTAACTCTTGCCTTGTCATTTTTGGGAAATCTGATAAGCTTCTTGTGATGCAGACCATATCTGATAATTGCTTGCCTAAATTCTTCCTTGCCATCAAACTTCATACCAAGAGTAAACTCTGGTACATCCCCTTTGTCCTTGAACCTTCTATATCTAGACTTGAATGTCTTTACTTCACCATCACTGCCAATCTCATCGAAAGAATCATACAAATCAGAGCTATCTTCGTATGCAGTACCATTTCCATCATTTTCCTCCCCCACCTTATTTGATGACCCTATTGCAGGCCCACCATCCAGCATAGCATCATCAAGGTGCTCTAGTTGTCCAGCCTTCATCTTTGCCTTATACTCTTTATATTTCTTGTTGATCTCGACAGCCTCTTCATCTTCATCGGAAATGATGTCATCATCAGGGCAGTAATCACTCTCGCTGCTATCCTCGTCTTCATCTTCTTCTGAATTTTCATTTGCAGCATCTGAATTTTCCTCTTCAGGCCCTTTTGAGTTACTGATTGCAACACAATCATTGTCCGCAGGTGGACAAGTAGCCAATGCGACAAAATGATCTGCAGCTCCCTCTGATTCACTACTAGCATTCGGACCCATCAGAAGCTCAACATCTCTGTCTGGATCCCTGTCGTGTTTGTCGTTTTCAGAATTTGGATATAGCTCCACATATATTTCAGCTATACTTCCAACAGCAACACAATCTCTAATCTGCTTGCAATCGGTGTCTAAAGCAACCATTTTCAGACCACAAACCATCTCTTTTCCAGGATATAACCAATGAAACATCTTGTCATCCTTTGTTTGGCAGTGCATACCAAAACTCTGAACCAGATAAAAAAACAGAAGTTCTTGCGATAAACAAATGACATGGCCTCTTTTCCCCCACTATATTCAAGTGTTTTCCCATCATTCAAAAACTGGCCTTCAAAATGAAATCTGATGAATAGCACGTCTTCAGGATCCATTTGACTGGCCTAGTTCATACAAGAGACAAGCACAACGTGAGGCCTGCCCTTGCACCTGAATGTAAGATTGCAATGAGTGCACGCACAAATTACCTTCGGCAATCGAGCTCCTTGTCGTGGGTCAAGGCCGCCGTC